TAAAATCCTGGGCCTGGATACATGATTTATTATGATAAAAAAAAAAAAAAAAAGTCTGTTAGCCTGTTCTGAATCATAAAGAACTGGCTATCAACTCCCCGAATAATATTTAACCCCTTCACGTGCCTATCTATATGCAGACGAGCTGACGCACAGGGGGGAGCTCGGAGCTCTGCCTGTGCCTCTCCCGCCCCCTCCCGCACCGGGGCAGACTGAGTGGGCACACTAAGGCTCTCCTCTGACAGCTCCAGGAGGCTGCCTGTTCTGGGGGTGAGGGTCACACAGCACAGGGCGGGTGAGTCCCGCTCTCAGAATCCGAATCCTCCTCGTCTCTGTCCCTGCCAGGCCTCACCTCCTTCCCTGTGCCTGGGGTCCTTCCTGTCCCCCCACGTCACGCCCGCTGTTCCCGGCTCCTCCTTGTCTCCCAGAGTTTCAGGACTCTTTCCCGGTGTTCTCTCTGCATTGCTTCTCAGACCCCGAGCATGATTTTCGCCGGCACCGCTGTCATTTATTTCCCGACCCCTGAACGCTGCCAGGTAGGCTGTTTGCAGCCTCTGTGTTAACGACATGGCTGCACACACACGTCCTCGAGTTCACGTCTGTGCACGATGCCCAAATAGAACTGCAGGGTGAGTTTTTAAAGTAGTAATTGCTGTACCAGAGACCAAGGGTTTAAACCACTCATAAGTGCTGACAACGCCCCTCAGAGGCTGTGTTGGCCACGGACAGTACCTTGCCCATGGGGTTTATTCTTTGCCAAACCAGCCCGTGGAGGATGCTATCTCACTGCCGTTTTAAACACGGTGAGTTACCGTTAAGAACGCTTTCTTTTAGACCACATGTGTCAAACACAAGGCCCGAGGGCCAAATCCGTCCCGCCAGGCCTTGCAATGTGGCCCGCACCGCGCTGTCATCACTGCACTCCGCTGCGTTTCCATCACAATGACAGTTTATGACTGTTCAGTAAACCATTCGGCCCGCGATTTAGGCTGGATTTTAGATTTTGGCCCCTTCTCTGATTGAGTTCGACACCCCTTTTTTAGACCATCTCCCCTGGAATTCCCTCCCCCTGGATTGCTTACTGGTAAGGACTTTTCCCCACCTGAAGGATATTAACCACGTGTTCCTGTTGTGCGTTCTAAGTATTTTCAGGTTGTTCTGATGTTGACTTTGCTTGCGGAACATTTCCAGTGGAGGAGACTGAAGTTCTGTTTATGCCGTTTCTCCATCGTTCGTCCAATGTCCTCTTTAGGAAGACCCTCATGCTGAGATCATAGGATCCGCCCTGCCTCCTTGGACTTTCAGACGGTTCCCATGAATGCTTTCCCCCGCGCGCTCTGGCAGAACTGTGACCCAGGCTAGGGAAGCTGTACTGGTTTTTCAGGAATCTCCCTGTGATGCGAGATCCAGGATGTTTGCCTTTGCCTTAGCTGCACAACCTGTCAGCTTATCAAACATGGGCGGCTCAGGGCAGCGAGTCCCCCAAGGCCCTGCCTTCACGGACACATCCCCGCCCGCTGCTCTGCTCGGGGCAAGCTCGCCGGGGTCCGCCCGCACAGCCCTCCGCTGGCCGCTGACCCCAAGGGCCGGGCAGGGCTGCCCTCCCGCCCCGGCCTTCTCCACAGAACACCGCGGGGCCTTGGCGTTGTCTGGCTCCACCGGGGATTCACTTCTCCTGGGCTCCTGGTTATTGTCAGTCGATTTCGGGGAGCATTGGGGGCGGAGCTGTTTTTATTTACTTTTATGTTTTATTTTTTTTAATTTTTAAATATATTTTATTGATTTTTTTTTTTTTTTTTACAGAGAGGAAGGGAGAGAGACAGAGAGCCAGAAACGTCGATGAGAGAGAAACATCGACCAGCTGCCTCTTGCACACCCCGCACTGCAGATGTGCCCGCAATCAAGGTACATGCCCTTGACCGGAATCGAACCCGGGACCTTTCAGTCCGCAGACCGATGCACTGCCACTGAGCCAAACCGGTTTCGGCTATGTTTTATTTAAAAAAATATATATTTTATTGATTTCGGAGAGGAGGGGAGAGGGAGGGAGAGAAGCACCAATGATGAGAGAGAGAGCCATTGACCAGCTGCCTCCTGCACGCCCCACATGGAGGATCAAGCCCTCCACCTGACGGGGACTGGAACCGTGTCCTCCTGGTTCACAGCCACTGAGCCCACTGGCCGGGCCAGACCGGCTTTTATTTCATCGGCTTAAACGGCACCTTCTGCCGCCTCCACTGTCTTCCCGACACAGGTCTGATGCTTCTGTCGTCTCAGTCCCTCTCTGTGGCAGCGAAGAGAGGCTTCCCAGAAAGATTTTTCTTAAAGATAAGGAAAAAGTCACCCCTATCCGATCTCAACGAGACGTGTATGACACTAGTGGGCCGGCAGGGGACAAACCACACGAGGAGGCACCCGGCGGGCTGGGACCCGCGCCTGACCCACAGCACCCGTCCCCCTGCCCGTGTCCGCTCCATGCAAACCTCCTCCTATCCGGTCCTCACCCGCTGTGGCATCCCGGCCTAATTCGCATGTTACCTCTTTGTGTAGACTGAGGCTCACCGCATGGTATCCGAGCGAGAGTAGGCCCCTGGCTCCCCTGCTCCCCGGCTCCCCAGGGCGGGCAAGCCCTTGCTCCTGCCTGGAGCACCACTCCAGCAGCTCCCTCCGCAGCCCCTTCCCCTCACGGCAGGCTTCACAGGCTCTGCACCTGCATATGCAAAGTAGCCTCCATCTTTGCTGGGTTAATTTGCATACTCACTGATTGGCTATGGGCATAGCAGAGGGATGGTTAATTTGCATGTTTCTCTTTTCTTAGGTAAGATGTTATTCACAGTCCCTCTCTACTCTATAGCAAGGTCCTTAAGAATTGCCACCCATAGATGGGGGGAGGGTAGATGGGGGGAAGGTAGATGGGGGAGGGTAGATGGGGGAGGGTAGATAGGGGAGGGTAGATGGGGGAGGGTAGATGGGGGAGGGTAGATGGGGGAGGGTGGATGGGGGGAGGGTGGATGGGGGAGGGTAGATGGGGGAGGGTAGATGGGGGGAGGGTAGATGGGGGAGGGTAGTTGGGGGGAGGGTAGATGGGGGAGGGTGGATGGGGGGAGGGTGGATGGGGGAGGGTGGATGGGGGGAGAGGGGAGGGAGGCCCGGAGGGGCGAGGCCTCCCATCAGCCACCCAGGGCCACCCGGCCCCACCGCGTCTCCTCCCCGGGAGGGGCCACGGCCCGGGTGGGAAACCCGCGTCTCCCCAGCGGGTATTTCGGGGAAAGCGCCCCCCGGAGTAACCCCCTGGGACACCCTCTGGCCCAGGTGCGGCACCGGGACCGCCTCCGGGGACCGCGGGGAGGCGCGGGGGTTTGGGGCGCGGGGCGCGGGGACCCCAGTTTCCCAGGCGCAGCGCGGCCTGCGGCTTCCCCGGGAGGCGGGAGCCTCTCCCGCCCGTGTCCTCCGCGGCTCCCTCGGCAGAGCCTCCCCCTCCCTGCTCTTTCCCCCTCTCCCCCTCTCCGCTCCCTCCATCCCTCCGCTCCGGTCCCCTCCCCTCCCCTCCCCCCCCCTCTCCCCTTCCCTCCCCTCCTCTTCTCCCTCTCCGCTCCCTCCATCCCTCCGCTCAGGTCCCCTCCCCTCCCCTTCCCTCCCCCCTCCCCTCCTAACACCCCCCTCCCCGCCACCTCCCTCCCCTCCTCCCCCCTCCTCCCCCCTCCCCTCCGCTCCCCTCCCCCCTCTCCTCCCCTCTCCCCTCTCCCCCCTCCCCTCCCCTCTCCCCTCCCCCTCCCCTCCTCTCACCCCCCTCTCTCCTTCCCTCCCCTCCCCTCCTCCCCCCTCCTCCCCCCTCCTCCCCTCCCCTCCGCTCCCCTCCGCTCCCGCGCTCTCCGCCGGTCCGTGCGCGGGCGGCGGGGATGCTGCGGGCGGTGGGGGCGGCGGTGGCCGGAAAGGGAGCGGGGGGCCGGGCCCGAGGCGGGGGCGGGGGCCGGGGCGGGAGCCGGGGCCGGGGCGGGGGCCGGGGCGGGGGCGGTGGCCGGGGCCGGGCCGGGGCCGGGGCGGGGGCGGTGGCCGGGCCCGGGGCGCGCTGGCCTCCGCCCGCGGTCGGAGCGGCATGAGCCGGAGGCTGCGCGCCCGCCCGCCCGCGGCCCCCGCGCCCCCGCCGCCCGCGCCTCGGGCCCCGCGGCCCCGCTAGCCCCGCGGCCGGAGGCGGGGCAGGAGGAGGAGGAGCGCCGGGAGCGCCGGGAGGACCGGGAGCACCGGGAGCACCAGGCGGAGGAGGAGGAGCGCCGGGGGCACCAGCGGGAGGAGGGAGAGGACCGGGGACGGGGAGGCGGCGGCCAGGCCTGCGGAGCGCGGGCGCCGGGTGCAGAGCGCGCAGGGGCGCAGGGTCCCTCCCTCCCGCCGCCTCTGCCCGGAGGGTCATCCGTGCGTCCTCGGCCTCCGGGTCCTCGAGTCCCCTCTCCCCCACCCCTCCGGGTCCTCCCTCCCCCGCCCCGCGCCCCCGACCTCCCCTTCACCCGCCAGCCCCTCCCTCCCTCCCCCTCTCCATTCCCCCCTCCCCCTCTCTCCCCTCTCTCTTCTCTCCATCCCTCCCTCCCTCCATCCATCCCTCTCCCCCTCCCCTCCATCCCTCCCTCCATCCATCCCTCTCCCCCTCCCCCTCTCTCCCCTCTCTCCTCTCCATCCCTCCCTCCCTCCATCCATCCCTCTCCCCCTCTCCCTCCCCCTCTCTTCTCCATCCCTCCCTCCCTCCATCCATCCCTCTCCCCCTCCCTCTCTCTCCTCTCCATCCCTTCCTCCCTCCATCCATCCCTCTCCCCCTCCCCCTCTCTCCTCTCCATCCCTCCCTCCCTCCATCCATCCCTCTCCCCTCCCCCTCTCTCCTCTCCAACCCTCCGTCCATCCTTCCATCTCTCCCTCCCCCGCTCTCCCCTCCCCCTCCCTCCCTCCCCCTCTCTCCTCTCCCTTCCTCTCTCCTCCCCGGACCCCCTGGCGCCCATGGAGGTCTAGGGCCGGAGCCCGCGGCCGCGGGAAGATGCGGGCGCTGCGGCGGGCGCTGCGGGTGTCGCCCCGCTCGCTGCTGGCCTTCCTCTTCCTCTTCTCGCTGTCCTCGTCCGGCCTCTACTTCGTCTACGTGGCCCCGGGCCTGGGTGAGCGGGCGGCCCCGGGGGGCCCCGGGCCTGGGTGAGCGGGCGGCGCGGGGGCGCGGGGCGCGGGGCGAGCAGAGCAGCCCCCCTCCCGGGGGAGCGCACCGGACGGACCGTCATTTCGGGGGCACTGCCTCCGGGTGCGGGCCGGGCCGGGCTCGGGTTCGGGGTCCGGGCCGGGCTCCGGGGGGTGCGGTCCGGGCCGGGCTCGGGTTCGGGGTCCGGGCCGGGCTCCGGGGGGTGCGGTCCGGGCCGGGCTCGGGTTCGGGGTTCCGGCCGGGCTCCGGGGGGTGCGGTTCGGGCCGGGCTCGGGTTCGGGGTTCGGGCCGGGCTCCGGGGGGTGCGGTTCGGGCCGGGCTCGGGTTCGGGGTTCGGGCCGGGCTCCGGGGGGTGCGGTTCGGGCCGGGCTCGGGTTCGGGGTTCGGGCCGGGCTCCGGGGGGTGCGGTCCGGGCCGGGCTCCGGGGGGTGCGGTCCGGGCCGGGCTCCGGGGGGTGCGGGCCGGGCCGGGCTCCGGGGGGTGCGGTCCGGGCCGGGCTCCGGGGGGTGCGGTCCGGGCCGGGCTCGGGTTCGGGGTTCGGGCCGGGCTCCGGGGGGTGCGGTTGGCGGAGGGGGGAAGGCCGCCCTCCCTGGGCGCCCCGCACCCTCCGGGCATCCCCGGCGGCGGCACCCTTTGCCCCGGGCACTGGTGCGAACCGGGCTTCCTGCGGTTTATCCAGGCCCCCGGGGCTCCGGCCGGAGCCCGCCGTGCGCGCCCTGTGTCCGGGGTCCCGGCGGGAATGGGGCGGCGCGGTCTGCGGGGCGCGGGCCGGTGCGGGGAGGGCGCTGCTGGTCCGCAGGGCGCCGTCACTGCCACTGGCAGCTGTCTGAGGGGCTGGTGTCTGTCTGAGGGGCTGGTGTCTGAGGGGCTGGTGTCTGTCTGTCTGAGGGGCTGGTGTCTGTCTGTCTGAGGGGCTGGTGTCTGTCTGAGGGGCTGGTGTCTGAGGGGCTGGTGTCTGTCTGAGGGGCTGGTGTCTGTCTGAGGGGCTGGTGTCTGAGGGGCTGGTGTCTGTCTGTCTGAGGGGCTGGTGTCTGAGGGGCTGGTGTCTGTCTGAGGGGCTGGTGTCTGAGGGGCTGGTGTCTGAGGGGCTGGTGTCTGAGGGGCTGGTGTCTGAGGGGCTGGTGTCTGTCTGTCTGAGGGTCTGCTGTCTGTCTGAGGGGCTGGTGTCTGTCTGAGGGGCTGGTGTCTGTCTGAGGGGCTGGTGTCTGAGGGGCTGGTGTCTGTCTGAGGGGCTGGTGTCTGTCTGAGGGGCTGGTGTCTGTCTGAGGGGCTGGTGTCTGAGGGGCTGGTGTCTGTCTGAGGGGCTGGTGTCTGTCTGAGGGGCTGGTGTCTGTCTGAGGGGCTGGTGTCTGAGGGGCTGGTGTCTGAGGGGCTGGTGTCTGTCTGTCTGAGGGGCTGGTGTCTGTCTGTCTGAGGGGCTGGTGTCTGAGGGGCTGGTGTCTGTCTGTCTGAGGGGCTGGTGTCTGTCTGTCTGAGGGGCTGGTGTCTGAGGGGCTGGTGTCTGTCTGTCTGAGGGGCTGGTGTCTGTCTGAGGGGCTGGTGTCTGTCTGAGGGGCTGGTGTCTGAGGGGCTGGTGTCTGTCTGAGGGGCTGGCATTGTCTGTCTGAGGGGCTGTGTCTGAGGGGCTGGTGTCCTGAGGGCTGGTTGTCTGTATGAGGGCTGGTGTCTGAGGGGCTGGTGTCTGTCTGAGGGGCTGGTTGTCTGAGGGCTGGTGTCTGAGGGGCTGGTGTCTGAGGGGCTGGTGTGTATGAGGGGCTGGTGTCTGAGGGGCTGGTGTCTGAGGGGCTGGTGTCTGAGGGGCTGGTGTCTGAGGGGCTGGTGTCTGTCTGAGGGGCTGGTGTCTGAGGGGCTGGTGTCTGAGGGGCTGGTGTCTGTCTGAGGGGCTGGTGTCTGAGGGGCTGGTGTCTGAGGGGCTGGTGTCTGAGGGTCTGGTGTCTGTCTGAGGGGCTGGTGTCTGTCTGAGGGGCTGGTGTCTGTCTGAGGGGCTGGTGTCTGAGGGGCTGGTGTCTGAGGGGCTGGTGTCTGTCTGAGGGGCTGGTGTCTGTCTGGTGTCTGAGGGGCTGGTGTCTGTCTGGTGTCTGAGGGTCTGGTGTCTGAGGGGCTGGTGTCTGAGGGGCTGGTGTCTGAGGGTCTGGTGTCTGAGGGTCTGGTGTCTGAGGGGCTGGTGTCTGAGGGGCTGGTGTCTGTCTGAGGGTCTGGTGCTGAGGGTCTGCTGTCTGTCTGAGGGGCTGGTGTCTGAGGGTCTACAGTCTGAGGGGCTGGTGTCTGAGGGGCTGGTGTCTGTCTGAGGGGCTGGTGTCTGAGGGGCTGCAGTCAGGGCTGGGACAGCCTGTCCGCCTGGGGGTGCCGTCCAGGGGAAATAACACTCCAACCGGCAATCAGGGCCGGTCGCTGGCGGTTTAACCTACTTCTCGCTCCCGGCCTTGGGGCTGACCTGCTCTTGGGTGCCATCTGCAGAGCTGGCTTCTGGGTGACATGCACAGCCAGCTCCCCGGGCCCTGGGGTGGGGAAGGGTCTGGGGTGGCATTCTGATGGGTGAGAAGGAGCAGCGCCAGGTGGGCGTCAGGACGCACTGTTTCCAGAGCGTTTCCGAGTTTCCCGCGGTGGCCAGTGTCCCTTCTCCCTCGGAAGCACCTGCAGACCTCTGGGGCGGAGGGCCACCAGGGCCGTGTCTTGTGTGGTTATAGGCTAGGGCAGTGGTCGGCAAACTCATTAGCCAACAGAGCCAAGTACCAACAGCACAACGGTTGAAATTTCTTTGGAGAGCCACGTTTTTTAAACTTAAACTTCTCCTAATGCCACTTCTTGAACGTAGACTCGCCCAGGCTGTGGTATTCTGTGGAAGAGCCAAAGAGCCACATGTGGCTCTCGAGCCGCAGTTTGCCGACCTCGGGTAACAGGGAATAAAGAAAGGCACAGCTGTAAGGGGTGTTCCGGAGATTGAATTGGGGTGCCTTAGGATCCCCAGGAAGAACGTGGCAGTAGGCGGAGGGAAATAAGGGCTGAGAGCTCAGGACAGAGGTTCGGGTGCCTTCGGCGTAAGGAGGAATGGTGCCTGTCCATTGCTCACCTCTCACACCTGGGTCACGAAACCAACTCCTGCAAGCAGAAGGACTGCCCACGCTAGTGACTCTCACATATGGGATTGCAGGGGCTCAGTTGGAATTTGAAGAAGGCCCACGTGTAGTTTGAAAAGTTTCCCATGAGGCGCTGCCACCCTTTTACTTTCCAGGCCCACGTGGGAGTCAGTGGGGCTGACACCCGGGACAGTGTGGGTGGCTGGCCGCACATCCCAACCCCACGCTAGTAGGAGAGCCATGTTGTGAAGAAAGCGAAGGAAAGGCAGGCGTTTGATGAAATTCACCCATTTAAGATAAAGCCTCTCCACACAGTGGGTATGGACTGAGCATGCCTCACGTATATAGGCCATCCAAGACAGCTGACAGCTGCCATCAGACTCAGAATTGCAAAGCTGGGAGCTTTTCTTTACACCAGGCCAGGGCAGGGATGCCCACTCTTTCTACTTTTATTCAGTGTAGTATTGGAAGTCATGGCCAGAGCAATTAGGACAAAGAAATAAATAAAAGCATCTCAACTGGAAAGGAAACTGTAAAATTGTCACCGTTTGTGAATGGTGCGGTTATATATGCAGAAAATCATAAAGATGCTATCAAAACACTGCTACCCTGTTTCCCCGAAAATAAGACAGTGTCTTTTGTTAATTTTTGCTCCCAAAGTTGCACTAGGTCTTATTTTAAGGGGATGTCTTATCTTTCCATGTGCTAGGTCTTATTTTCGGAGGATGTCTTATTTTCGGGGGAACACGGTAGAATTCATAAACAAATCCAGTCAAGTTGCAGGGTGCAAAATCAATATGCAAGAATTGTTGCATGTTTATACTAACTAGAGGCCCAGTGCACAAAATCTGTGCATGGGTAGTGTCCCTAGTGTCTGCTGGCTGCCAGCTGGGGCCTCCCTTCCCCAGGCTGGCTACCTGCTGCCACTGCCAGCCAGGGCCAGCCAGTGGGGGAAGGGCCATGGGTGGTTGGCCAGCTGGCTCTGCCCCCTGGTCGAACCCTCAACAAGGAGAAAATTTGCATATTAAGCTTTTATTATATAGGATAATTATCAGAAGGAGAAATTAAGAAAACTATTCACAGTTACATCAAAAAGAATAAAATACATAGGACTAAATTTAACCAAGGAGATGAAACTTCTGTATACTGAAAACTTATAAGACATTGATGAAAGAAATTGAAACACACTGCTGGAAGCCAATTCCAACATGTCATAATTGCAAGTTTCATCAAAAGGTTGATGGAACTTGGGGACTCAACAAGGGCTGAGTCACATATGTTATCACCTGTTGGGAATGGCTAAAGGCATTTCCCCAAACCTGAAAAAGATGATTGCTTGCTGCCAGACAGCTCAGGGCATCTCAATCTACACGTTATTGCTTCCTCCTGGCCAAACACCTCAATAGCCAGAGGTAATTCCCCAACCTGACGATGCTTGTGTATACAAACCCTACCCTTTGATGTGTATATCTCCACCTTGCCTTAGGACAAATTGTGTTAATAAAAAGCAAGGGGTCCTGAGACAAGGAGAACCTTTAGCTAAGTCTTCTCTGACTCCCTGTAATGCCTTCCAAAATTATGTTTTGTCTCTGGACTCTTGATTAATTTATGCACAGCCCTTCTCCAGATTGCTAAACTCTACTAGATGCTGGATCAAGACCACTGGCATTAGGACACAAATAAATAAAAAGATATTTTGTGTGCATGCAGGAAGAATTAATAAGATGTTATTACCCAAAGCAATCTACAAATTCAGTGAAATCCCTATCAAAATTATAACAGCATTGTTTGTAGAAATAAAACAGTCCTAGAAGTTTTGGACTCCAACCAGTCAAAGCAATCTTGAGAAAGAAGAGCAAAGCTGTAGGCATCACGCTCCTGGATTACA